TTAATACAGCATCGATGAGGATTGCGTCAGATTAGTCATCTACGACATTAGTTCTGTCTCATAAAATCCGAATATATGATGCATCCAACATTCCTTTTTTCTCTCGCCTTTCGCTGCTCACCCCTAAACCTTCCATTGGCGAAAAATCCGCGTGCATTATCTCACACAGCAGCATACTGGCAATAAACATCCAGTCCAGACGAGGAAACGTGGTATGGGGATGCACCATTTTCCAGGAGTTTCTGGAACAGAGCGGTTAAGCTCGTGCAACTTCCGGCAACCATGCCGAGACTCACCCTTATTCGACGAAGCTCTATGGAAAATTCGATAGCCTCCCGAAGGGAGACTACCACTAGGCGTCGATCGTTACTACGAGGACCACGTACCCTAGCTACCGCTAGGAAAAAAAGGAACGTTCGAAGAGAGCCACTCTCTATTTTTTTTTTTACGATGCTGTATTTTATTTTAAATCTAAAACTATTTATTTGCTTTATTGCGTGCCTCACAGAGAGAGAATCGGCACGGCGCGGGCGCAGCAGCGATATTTGCCTCTGCGATGCTTCGGTTGTATTTTTTTAATAAACAAATAGCTATTAAATTCTATTGAAATATTTTAATTTGTTTATTCAACTGAATTTAAAAAAGAGGAATGTTCGTAATATCGGAACTATTAGATTTGCATTGGTAGGTTTGAAATTGTTCTCTTTAATTATTTTCAGTTGTGATCTGTATATTTTTCCTCAATTTATATTAGCTACTTTTATCATGCATTTCTATATCGTTCACGTAAAATCAGACCACTAAATCATCCAATTACACAAATTGCAGGAAAAATTATGCTCGCCGCAATTACGTGCTTTTTTTTTAACGACGCACGTGAAACCAATGCAATCACCTTGCGATATTTCCCCGGGTCAATGCTATTCAATTTTCTTGGCATTAATTGCGGTGCGCGCATTGCGAGGTCGTCCTTTGGCATTCCGAGAGTTACCCATTAAGACGCCACGGAAAATTCGATGGCTTTACCAAAGAGAGAAAGAGAAGAAGGAAAGTGCCGCTCATTATCAAGAGAAACCCACAGTCACGACAGTCACGGTAAAATGGTAATTCGGTGGTGGAGATAAACTGCGGCTCTCGAGATCTTATATGAGCACAAAGATACGCATCCACAAACAAATTGAAACACTCGGCGCAGATACGCTATAGTACCTAACTGCGGCAGCGTGAAGTATGGATATGTGTGTTGCGGCTGTGGCGTCAGGCTTTCACCGGCGGGACTGAGGGTCTTCTTCCGTGACAGAAATTGTTCCGTCTTCGCGGAAACGCTCGAGTCACTGGAGTGACTTCACGATATGAGACTTCGCGCTGTGCCGCGCCGACGGGTGAGCTCGGACCAGATATTATCAAGCGAAATGAAATTCAGCGGGTTACGGCTTATGTCGACGTAACGATGTCCCAGCCCGACGACGTAATGGCGGAAACAGGAGGGATGAACTATTGAACGTTGTGTTGTAAAAAAGATTTCTTGCTGCGTATCGTCGAATGGTCGTTTAATCTTGTTATCATCGATGTTCTGATTGCTTGGCGTTTTCATTGTTTAAAAAAAAAAAAGAAAAAACAATGAAAATAATCTAAGAGAGTGAATTTAAGATAATAAAAAAACCTAAGAGCATAATATTGCTTGTTTCTCGAGAAAATAGCATCCAATTAAATGCACACTAGAAAGAAAATGTGAAAGATTTAAAGTGCTTTGTGATACTCTGGAACACTTTATGTTACTGAAACGGACAGGAAAAATTTATTTTATATCTATAATAGTCTGGATAAATAAAATTTAATATATGTATAGAGACACACCGCATTATTAAGACTTTTTAAATTAATATTGAAAGGCGAATACATACCGCTATACATTATTCAGTCTTCGCAACACACCAAAACCATAATTCCATCACATTTTCTTCATGATAAATAAACATTACAGTCAAAGCATATTTTCTTGCAATAGTGAACAAGATCTCGGGGTAAGTTTATCGAATTTTTTGGTCCGAGAGTTCTGCTCACGGTCTATACATCTTCGTTTTTCTCTTCGTTCTCGCTGGTTTCGAGTGCACGTCCTTGCCAAAGGAAGTCCAGGAGAAGGACCTATCGAGTCGTCATTCGAATGCAGCGCGCGTAAGCGAGAACATCCGGTTGCAAAGACGTGCGGCGATTTTTGCGGCATCCGTAATCGACGCTATATTTCCATCACGACCTCAACATAGCGATTTTTCTCCACAAAATCGCGTTTTATACGGGAAAGTGGAATTATTATTATTACGCGCTCGTTCTTGGCGAATAGTTATGCGATGCGTGGGCTTTTGAGAGGAGCTGGCCAAATTTTCATTCATAAGAAAAGTTTGATGCTGTAATTACGCGTTCTTCAATGGTACAATGTAAAAGAACAGTTATCAGGCGAATGCTAATTCTGCATTCTTCATTCACATTTATACATTTTTAACATTTTATTATTCTTTTTCCTTATCATGTAACTATAATTTTACAAAAATATTCGTCCTTGTTAAAAATTTTCATGAAATGAATTGTACATATTTTGATCTAATAATGATTCAATTATACATAATTCGTAATGAGCTATTTATTCTGATGACGTATCTGATAAGTTTGGTGCAACATTTTTTTCCGAGAATTCTTTGAATATATGCAATTCTACTGAAAATTGTTTGGCAAAGTCAAACATACTTGTGCAAACCAATTTCTAAATTAGATTTTCGAGCAAATTGAATCATTATCAAGCGACATGCTGAAATCGTTTTTGCAGTTCAACAAATGATATTTTTGTGTCATTAAAGATATATTATATCTTATTTTATTTAAATTCGGTAAAAGAACTTTGTAACCGTATACGCCGTTCTTGACGTCTAGAATAGACGGACTATTTTTGGGAACGCATTGAGAACTATTTATATCCAAGGGTAAATATATCGGCAATCGTTGCGGTTGAGAGTCAACGTTTCCTTCATCATACTGGTGAGTTGCTTGCGGCACAATTAAATCATCAAAAAATCGGACAAAGTTTGTGATTCAAAAAAACAATGTCCGATTGCAAAAGATTTTATACGTAAATATGTATTTTTGTCATAATAAGAATATTAATAATTAGAGGTATAAACAGAATTATAGTTCAACTTGAAGGAAAAAATTTGTCACTTCTGCACATACGCGTGAACGCAATAAACTTTCAGCAATCGTGGTTTCAATAACGTGTAGACACGTATAAGGGCATGTTACTTGGATAATAGGATGATTCTGTGGTTGCCCAGGGTGATGTCTAAATGCGCATAGTCAAATGAGCTGGTGGTCCATATATACATACTGACGACACACACGATTGTGCCGACAAACACATGAATGTGCAACGGGAAACCGGGGTATCTAACTAGAGCCGGAAGATAGAGCGTATCCTAACGATCGGTCTCGCCTGAATAATTCTCAGATAAGTTTCGTACGTGCAGGGAAAGTGAAGCCGCATTTGCATCCCTACAGCCTCATTATAGATCGCATCGCGTAGGTAGGATTTTAACGAAAATAACGGCGACACGTATCGCCTCCCCCTCCCGCGACTTTCTGAGTACTAATCTTCTTGTCGTGGCGCATACGCCGCCGGTGATAACTGGTAAAATTATTATTTGTTAAACTATTATTTAATAAATAATAAAAAATGCGTATAAATTAAAAAAGAAACTATTTTAAAAAATAATCAGCGATATACTTGTTTAACGCGATAAATTATTTTGTGTCTCTTCCAAAGACTCTGTTTATTTATCGCTACAGTGTTCCAGAAACTGTGTTACTGACGTCCCTTTTGACGCAAGTATTATATTACACGAAAAAAAATGCTTTGTAAGCGCTACCACGGCAGCGCAAACGTGGTGACCAACAAGAAAACAATGTAGCTTCGTGTCACAGTTCCTGAGGAACAATTTGGCCCCGAGCCAGACTCTGACTTCCGGAGCTAACGACATTGGAATATTTGTCGAGTAATCCGTTTGATCATAAAAGATATTCGCGTTGCGAATTTTGTAGGAGCCGAGATAAAAATACATTCCACGTACTACCGTACTATTTATGTTTTTGAAGAAAAGCTAAAGAACCAGTATAATTGAAACGTTATAACTCTAATCATTACGCATAATAATATTATAAATCATGTAGGATAATGTGATACGTGAGCATAGGTATAAGTTCGCGCGGTGTTACAGATATCAGATTGCATAATTATTGACTCATTGAGTTGCGAAATATCGCGGCATCCATATATTAATCGCGGTTATTGGTTAACCGAAATTGTAGTTAAAGTATTATATATATTTATCATTACAGTCATTATCATTTTAAATTAGTCAGCAAAATGGATTTGCTTGCTCCCGCTGCGCAATTTCAAACATCACCGTAAGCGTCAAACATTTTAAAATTACAGAGCTATGTTATTCCGAGTATACTGCATACATTCATGTAATTTTATTATTAGTCCATCAAAATTAAAACTATTTTTTTCTGTCAACCAAAACTTTTTCACTTTATCGCTAATTTATTACCAGTAATTATTGATTGACTAAGATCAATGACTAATAATCACTAGTCAAAACATTATTTTCTTTAATTTGCTTATAATAAAAGGTAGCGATTTTAATTTCTATCAATGTAAATAATATTGCTACCTTTCATGTATTATAAGTAATATATATATATATATATATATATATATATGGCTCAGAAGCTTAACAAGCATTTGTGTAAAAGGAGCGCCCCACTAAACAATGCTGTCCAACGAGGGAGTAAAGTTTACATTCGCTAATCTAAATATTCGGCATATCTTGCATCTCTCGCGCTCTCTATCATCACGCTAGACATTTCATAAGGTTTGTCTTCTCTCTCCCCTCGTATCCCTCTTTATGGTGCACTCCCTAACGGCACCCGTCTGGCTTCTCTCATTTCAGCTGACAAAGGTATGTTACTGAAGCTTGACTTTCGGGACGAGTTCAAGCTCGAAGACAGCCCGGATTGCGGTTTCGATTACCTCGAGGTACGTGACGGTCAGTACGGTTACTCTAATCTCCTCGGCAAGTTCTGCGGCACGAATTTTCCCCCCGAGATCACGTCGAAGACGCGATACCTCTGGCTGCAATTCCATAGCGACGAGAATATCGAGGGCAAGGGATTCAAGGCTGTGTGGAACACGATACCGAGGCCGACCTATCGTAAGTCTCCAAGTTACAAAATCTTTTATTGCGCAGGATCTCTCTTTCTAAACTTTTCAATGTTTCTTTCTAAACTCTAATTTCGCTTGAAATGTAATATTGGGCGCAAACTAATAATTTCGAAATCTTTGAATAAAGCATGAACAAACAAACAAGTAATAAAATGTCGCGGCATTGTTAAAAAACTATTTTAATAAATGTCCAATTTATTTTACGTTTATGTGTAGCATTTAAAAAAATCAACACTATTTTTCAAGAAAAATTGATTATTCACACAATTTTCTGGAATCTCAATTTTTATGGTACTATCCCAGTTTTCTTTTTCTGGATGTGCCAGAAATTTGTCTTGTGGGTTCTCTTTAACTCTGATATACTACTGGCCAAATCTTCTCCTTAATGTAAGATATATCCTTTGGGCGCGTAACCATGGATTAGTCAAAGCGATCAATAACAAACACGACATCTCGCCCTAGCTCTTCCGCTTCTCACGCTTGTTCGCATGATTCTCACGTACTCGGCGAGAGAGAACTTGTTGCTGAAATAATTGGCTCGACACAATGACAATTGAAACTAATTTGTTGTCTGTTAATCTAATGATTCATAATGATTTAATCGACACGGTATCAAAGCATAACTGAATCCTCTTATCCATGCAGACTACATATCGTGTTCATGCATGATAAGCGTAAAAGTAAGAGTCTAGAAATAATGAGGAAAAAAATGACTTAAAAAAACAGAAGAACAATACTTAATAGCACATGTAAAAAAAAGAACAGTACGAGACAAAAAGATGTCATTTTCAAGTTAATATATACTATTATTATATACAGCTATAACTGTTTTTAATTACATTCTTAATTAATTAAACTACGTACTGAGCGAATGTAATTTCTCTCCCTATTATAACAAGACGTGCTAAACTTAAAGAAAATGGAGATAACGTGACGAGCATAATTAGTAATTCATATCTCCGATCACGAATAATCGACGATCTTCGCTGTATATCCTTGTTCGGAAAATTACGAGACACGAGAGAAATAGATGGCCCACGGCAGCGAACGCCGTGCAACCGCAACCGAGGTCAAAATTAATTCATAGTCAACTGGTAGGAGGACGAAGGAAGGACTATGAATACTCGGTCGGAGCACGACCACGGTGACTCTGGCTTTAACCTTAGATCGATGTATAAAGCGAATGGTAGAAACGATTGCGACCAACAAAATCAAACATTGAAATTTTTATCTCGCCGCGTGGTTGATTAACTCATTCGTTGAAGTTTTAATATTAATGTCTAATATTAAATTATCTAGTATTGTGTTTGTACATTATTGTCAGGATGTGTTCTTGTTAATAAATATTCGATTTTTAATTAAGAAAAAATTAATGAAATACATAGTCAAAAATGCTTTATTCCTTATGTTTTATGTATTTCTAAATGCTATTAGAAAAGGAGAAAGTGATGAATGATTTAAACCATAAGAATGTATTTTCTCATAAAATCAGATATATTGTGTAACATTTATTTCGCATTCGTGCTAAATGAATGATGTATCAACGATATAACGTTTTATATATTTTCACATTGGTTTTAATGTACAATGATTTTTAGACAGTTTATTGTATAATTATTTATTGATATTATCTTTTTCCTCTCCCCCGTTTATTTATATATGTATATCCATCAGAAAATTATTACTTGTCTGCCAGAATTTCCAAAACTTTAACTTCTCAATAGATTTAGTTTTGTATTATTACAATTTTCTGTGCGGAGATATTATCAGTTATGCCTAATCATAATCACACAGAAGGGATTAAGACGTCGTACCATAACTGTTCGTATCTACTAGTCGGGCATGCGCGCGATTCATATCACTTATAAACCGGCGCGTGGTAAAAGCATGTTATACGCATAGACTAGTATAATTGTTATTCTTTATTTATGAATGAGAAACTGTTTAAACATCTTAAGTCGACATAAAAACATGAAATCAAAATGGACTTTTTACGCTTTTACGTTTATCTTGTACACAAGAATATTGTTTTTCATATATATAATCCGTAAAAATATAAAGCATTGTAAAGTATTAAAATATATAGAATATTATAAAAGTAATATATTAATAAGATAATTTAATTAATAATATTAAACAAATCCTTATTGTTGAATTTAAATATTATAATACTAGTAAAACGACAGAGACAAATGCAAGTTTTAAATATATAAGCGTTGATATGCGGGCCTAGGGAAAGTATAGAACTGTAATAGGTGTGATTCACAGCGGGCGTATTACCGGAACCAGAACCGTGCATATTTAACGTGACGGGTACGCAGGTGATAATTCACAGCAGCGACGTCGAAGACAGAAAGACTCAGGCCGAGAAAGAGGGATTCCCGTTGGATTGCATGTGGATCATTCAAGTAAAGGTGGGATGGAAGGTAAAAGCATTTTATTTTCTATATATTATATATCACTGAATTCCCGACATATATCATATCATTGTCGAAAATTTAATATCAATGAGTTAGAATATATAAAACGTGTCTCTCCTAATATTTCTTTACTGTCATATAACGTCATATAACGATCCTTATTTGATCCAAGTGCTACTTTACTACGTTCAATCGATACGAATGTTTGTTATTGGACTGCAGCAACGTGATTTCAAACGCCGTTTTCGTTCAAAGTAACACGTTTCTGAATGATTTACAATAGCTCTTTGCCGTCGCAGCGCGGAAATAACGGAGTGGTTTTATGCAAATACTTTGTCTGCGATATACACATCCGTTACAAAATTTACATAGCGGCTGATAACGGCATCTGCTTCAACATAGAAGAATCTTTTAGTTTCCGAAACTTTATTATTAAAATTGTTAATGAAGCTAATATATCTTCCAAACTATGTATAAAGTTGTTCATTTTTCTCGAATACGGAATAAATCCGAGGTGGCAAAGAGCTCACGTATCATATGCGTAATTCTTACAAGCCATGATGTTCTCAAAAAGTTTTAGCAATGTCGCAATCGATCCCGCTATATTATTACGTTCAAGTATTCTATACACATAATTACTTCTCACACTCTGCGCGTGCGACTGCATAGTTTTAATATAGATAATGAACTCTACGCGATAGCAAATCAATATATCGCTTAATTGTGTCTCAGAAATCTTTGCAATGTGTGCGCATTTAAGAAAATAAAAACATGTACAATTTTCAGATCCAGCTGGTTCTAGACCCTTTCAGTCTGCAGCAGCCAAACGAATGCGAGGCCAACTTTGTAGAGATATTTGAAGACCAAACGGACATACCTTCAAGAAAAAACCAATTCTGTGGCAGTATCGCCGATACCGTCGTTGTTTCGACCAATATCGCCCATTTGAGGTTCTATGCAGAGCCGAAGGCTATCAACAGCAGTTTCGAGGCGGTGATAACCGCCGTCAGAGAAAAGAATACCGCGGGCGGTGAGAAAGGTGAGTTTGGACGAATATAATAATAAATATATTTCCAGCCAAGTGCGTTCTTGGAATGATAAACTTGAAACAAACCGTAAATATAGAAAAATGTCATTAAAGGTACGTGTCATTAAAGCTCGGCGTTAACGTCGTCATAAAATGCACATAACGGATTAAGGTGCTATTCTTTATTATTGGATAGTAAAGTATAGATATACGGTTAAAACTCGAAATTATGACAAAACAGCACAATAATCGATTCATGATGTTACGTATCTAACATCTACCGCACACTTCTATAACTATCGTAAACCAGTGTCATTTGATAGATTGTGTTAATATATATATGTAACATTTTACATGCATTATTTAATTCAGCACAACATAATTTTACAAGAAAGATTTGTGTGTGGCAGATAAAATTTAAATTTTAAATAATAAATCGCGACAAAATGAGCTGTATATCACCTATGAGTAATATATGAATAAAAATTAGGTTTAATAAAGTTAATAAAATATAGATTTACATTATGCTTTATAATTATTCATTACTATAAAAGATAATATCCTCTAACTAATTGCCAATTAACTGCTCTCATAGAAAATCATTGGTATGCATAAATAATTTTATAATAATACAATATTATAAATTAATGAGTAGCTAATTAATTGTTTCAACAGTAGTTATTAGTTATATACAGAACAAATAAAATATGTTATAAAGTAAATATTTAAATATTTTTTATATAATAAGAGGATACAAGTTATAAAAAACAAATTTTATTGGAATAAAAAAGATAAATATTTTTATTAATAAAAAAAACAAAATTTGTTTTTTTGGAAAAAAAATTGGTTCTAAAATTTTCCAATAATTCCGAAATTAAGGTCAGTGTTCTTGAAACACGTTCTACATTGACCAATATTTCTAACAGTTTTTAACAGTGAGATAGCATAACGTCAATTTGCTTTTGGTAGTTCAAACTACGCAAACGCGGTATTGTTGTGGTTACGATAACATGGAAATTTTCCACATGGCACTCCAGAAATATCTGCTACAATTTCACAAAATTTTTTTCTCATATATGTATCCAACTCATATACCGTATGGATTTTTATTTTACTATCTTCCGAATTGAACGGTCAACAGCGCAGTTGTTGCGCCAACTTCTGTTTCGAGTTAACAAGCCGCACTGTTAATTCCCACAGATGACATACTCGCTTAATAATATTTTATATATAGCTCTATTTTTGTTGTTGTCAATAATAATTGGCAATAAGCTATCCATTTTTAAAACAGTACAAATAAAATTTTAAAACACGATACGAAGATACGAAGATATATAAGATATGAATTAAAATCGATACGTTCTACGTATTTTAATAACATTTTTTTAAATTTTAACTTACGCCTTTAAAATAAGTTGTCGCTTTTAAAAAATAGTATTAAGTGCTTTATGCGCCAGTCGACAAATTTTTAAATGGGTAAGACAAATTGGATTATTACAAAGGATTACATAAAGGCTTACATTTTCGCATTTTAGTCTATAATTATATGTATGCCTCATTCAATAAGCATCTTACGCTTAGCGAGAAGTTGGGGATAATCGTTGGGTAAAGGAATCAAATTTCAAATTAATAGCAGCGCACTTGTCTGAATGTTAAATGAGGTGGCCCGCAGAATCGCAGTTACGTGTGCGGAATTCACACAGGTTCTAGTATGGCATGAGAAGAATTTCCGGCTTTCCACACCTGCCGCCAACGCGGAACTAATATCTTGCTCGCGACTACGCTCCAACACATCGCTGTCGAAGGCTAAGACCTTAGGCTACAATTTTCTCATGCGAATTAAAAGTCGACTATCACGGTTATTTCACGGAAGGACGTCTCGGTAGAAATATTTAAGCTCGTTATAAATTTACTGAGAATTTTACATATGTCACGCATATTAATGTTATACATTATATATGTGATGGCAACTCTACGATTATTGTATTATATATATAGTGAAAATTTTAAATATAATTAAATTAAACAAATTTAGAAATTTATTAAATTAAACTAATTTTAGATATAATTAAAATTTGATGTTTAACGCGCGCACGGATATAATTAATCAAACAATAAATCTATAAATAAAAGAGAATATTGGAAACTTGATACGTTCTATACTTCTGTACAATCAATACTTTTTCAATATTCAATAATAATCGATATTCGCGATGTTTTTTTTTGTTTTGCAGTCTGCAAGGAAGACGAGTATGATTGCGAGGACACGACGTGCATCGCTGCGGAATTGGAGTGCAACGACAAGATTAATTGCCGCTTCAAGTGGGATGAAGACGAAACGAAGTGCAACGTGAGTTTTAGCTTTGTCAAATTCAATACACCCGTTCAATGACCTAACGAAGCGCTGTCCAATTTCCGGATTTCGACCATTTCCGGCGCGTCCACCCCGGGTCGCATCCTGCGATGCATACTGTTCGCATGCCCAACTCTCTTCTCCACAGATTTTTCACCTTCTCGTAAAATGTAAACTGCGGAAGTTAAATCGCACGAAACCGCGCAGGCTCGCAAAGTGTCATTAAATGAGATTAATTTAGACTGCGAGTTATAGAGGTAACTTATTATGGTATTTCTCACATCTCAAATTAAGAGTTACGAACTCCCGAAAATATTAACATAAATAATATTAATTGCCTGAAAATAACATTAACTACCAAGGATAAATTTTACGGCGGAGAAGCTGTGTTTTAAGTGTTAATATTATTACTGTTGAGAATGTAGCTGAAAGAATTTAAGTGCGTAATCACAATGTTGGGGTTATTTTGCACTTTCTAATAACGTTTCTACTTGCCACGATCTGGTAACATCTTTTGTTAGTTCGCTAAAACTATTCGCGTGTATTCTCGTTCTGTACCGCGAAGGTGTACCCAATATTACAGTGCAGCAAGAACGATACGTCGCGTCGTCTTAATTGCCCTCCGAGCTTCCACTTTACTTACTCCTGATCTCTTAGGTTAATTAATTTATTCGAGAAAAGTTTTATGGCCCCCTCTAGTTTAACTGGCTTGGCGAACAAGACATCTCAGAACTCGTAATCTGGCGCGGCAATTTGCTTCTTCTAATTGAGAGCAAAATCAGTTTCATAGGCCGCTTATTCGCATGGTTCTATTCTCTCTTTGCTTCCTGAACGACTTTTACATTGTATTATTGTTAAATGCTACTGCCATTGTATTTTCATTTCGGCACTATTAATTGCTATTTGTTAAGTCATTAAAATATCTAATTTAAAAAAAATAATGTTATTAACAATTAATCCGATTATAATTACATTAATACAACGTTTCTAAATTTACCATTTTGACTTGCATTTGATGTGAAAAGGAAGCTTTTTAAAGCACCGTAACTTCATTCCCGAGAGAGCCTATGAAGAGATATTGTGAAAGGCATGATTACCTTCAAATGGCAGTCTCTTTTAGAACACGGTGAGCAGTTCATGATCTAACGATAAACGTTAAGAGTACTTGGTCTCGAGAACTTTGTAGTCTTTTAGTTGGGATTATCTACGGCTTTCGGAAAGCTCATTTCACATCGCTTGGGGTTTCAGGATATGAAACCTTGTGGCGAGGCGTTGATGAGACGTAATCATTCTACGATCTTTTATACTTCGTATCTCCGTTCTAATTCAAAGAGAAAAAGCGGTAAAATGATGTTCGACACTCGTGACATATCGATTCAACTTTAAAGTAATTTTATTTGCCACCACGTTAATAAAATTGAAACTATTAAGAGGAATATTAATTATCTTGTCAGTTAAAAGTTAAAAGTTAAAAGAGCACGTAAATTATATCAGGAAACCCTGATTATCGTTTGACATTTATTCTACAATTTATACATAATTTCTCTAAAATTACAATAATGAAGGGTACTGTAAAATTTATACTGCTTAAATATTTATCGCCGATATAATGAAGACTTGTATTCAATGTTTATAATATGAATAATTTCGCGTATAGGCTCTGACGTTAAGCTGCCTCGTGGAATAGCGTAGTTGATCGTTGAGATTTATAGTCCCTTATTTGTTAGTGTCAAACCACGAGTCCGGCATGCACGACGCCACGAGGTCGTCTCTGTGACTTAATCGCCTTTCAACTCTGCAAAGCGTCCCGTCTCCATCGCTCTCGTCCCTGCCTGTAACACCGGGCTAATTAATTTATTCGGATAAAGTTTTGCAACGGGCGCGGCCCACTTCAACCCGGGTTTCGCGAGAGTCCCGATCTCGAAGCTGCGCAATTCCAAGGGCGCTCTCTCTCTCACAATGATATTCGGATGTGCGCCCCGACGGTTATACGGGTGGGTGTTTCCGGTTCCGGGACGTACAATACTACGCGCTTTTGGCAGACTACCAGAACAAGGCAACGACGAAACGACGGTACGATGCCACCGACGGGATATTAATCTAACGGCGAATAATAATGTTCTCCTGATATTGCCGCACGCGACTCCGTCAATGTTATTTCGTATTTTTATCTCAATCATTTCGGACTGAATGCAGAGTTTGAGTCGCGCAGAGTATGGAAGCGACGTACAAACTAAACAAATCGTAGGTGATGACTTTCAGAATAACGATTTTAGAAAATTATTTCGTCGAGACGTAATAATATACATAATTATTAATATTATTATTACGTTATAATATTTAGTCTAGAAAGTAGCTTGGTTGGGCAAACTCGGGTAAGATAGCCATACAGGAAAAATGGCCAACCTACGTTCTTTCAATCTAGCTCGCCATGAAACATCGAATGAACATGGGTTGGCCATCTTTCCTGTATGACCAACTTACCCGAGTTTACCCTATGCATGTATATAAATATATATGTATAAATATATGCTATATAATATAAATTATATTACAGATTATATATTGATCTTACTTAGTTATTTAAAATTGCAAAAATATTTTGTGTATTATTAAACTGATGTGAAAACGATGTGATATTAATAAAAAATCTATAATTGTCTATTACAGTTGACATTATAAATAACTAATAAATCGAACAGTTATTGCTCTCTAAAAAGCGTAATTGCTATTTGCGCACAACGAGAAAATATTTCCTATATAAAATTCTTGTTTCAAACAATTTTAATTTAATAAATGTATTATTTTCAATACCCTCTGGAAATGCGCTATCAACAGCAATTTTAAATGCATTTGATTTTTATGCATACGAGCAAATGAAAAATTGTTTATGTATTATTTTCGTTTTCACAACTCCATGGAAATTACAAGAACATTTAATTAATACATCAAAACAACAGATTAATCAAAAATTTGTAATCCTTGTATAACTAGAAAAAATATTTCTTTATATTTAAAATAATGAACATAATACTTATTTGATATATATAGCATAATATTATTATTTAAAAATTAATAAGTTTTTTACTTATTATTATTATTATTATTATCTATTGATTCATTAAGCTCTTTGGTGTTTCTGGTCTGGACGATTTTCAATAATTTAACTATTTTAAACACACACACTTGTTCATGCGCCGTATTTGACGCTGTAGAAAACTTCAATTCGCGCAAACGATTGTAACTAAATGGCCAACGACTATTAATATCTTCTACTGTGACTACGAACAATACGCGTTTTGCCGCCCTGTTAGTCGAAAATAAACGTTCTCATTCACTTGTCAGTCGCAACATAGTGGCGAATTTATCGCGATGGAGAGGTGTCTGTTTATTCCGTCGACACGTACGTTCAAATGTGTCACTCCAATGAATAAATCGATGATAAGCATGACACATCATATCGAATTCATTTGGCAATGATTAATTATTGAAACACTGCCATATACAGAAAAAATATATTGACTTTTTATTAAACCTAATAGAATGGTTGCTATAAGAATATTTAGAGAAAACTTTATTTTTGTAAGTAAATTGTTTTTTTTTATTACAGTACAAACAAATTGTACTGTACAGACTAATATAATTACACAACATGAATATATTCTTATATTGAATTTTGGCTCTTTTTTAATTGCACTAAAGTTAATTATATACAAACTTTGTTACATGTTTGTATTTTATAGCACATTTCTGTAGAAAATTTAATTAAAATTTAAAATGTTTGATATTACTTCAGAATTTGAAATAATTGGCCTGAATCTCTTATTTAAAGTAATTATAATTATATTATTGTTCCCTCATTTAATTTTTTGTTAAGCAGTGTAAGATAGAATCTTTGCAGAAAAGGATTCTAAGTCATAATATTCCTACCTTTGCGCTAATATTGCATTTCACATCGCTGGTAAATGAGTGCATCCTCGTGAAAATACTTGAAAAAGATCAGCGCCCGTGAAACGGACCTGAATTAAATCTCATTTCTTCATGCCGATTCCGATTCTTCCACTAACGGATGCAACTTCGTTCCAGGATTGTTTTAATGCCGGCATAAAAAATAGATACTTTGAGATTCTTCGTACCAAACGTTTTGTGCATTTCGCATCGCTACCAACTGCTTTCTCATCAAAAGAGGAAGTTTAAACTTTAAAATTATACATCAGGTAAACGCATGTATTTCGAAATCCTTTATCAGTGCATCGGAGAGTTTGCTATTGATTTGATAAACAATAAAGAATAGAAATGTTATCTGTAAAATATGAATAACTTCGTTTAAACATTTTGCATCTAATGACACTTGTATCGTTATTTATAACTACTAACTAGCATTTATATTACGAAATTGATTCGGCAGTTCGTAATACTCACAGATGTCGAAAACGATACTTTTGTCGGTCTGGAAATTTTGTTCGACTCAAGTTACAAATAAGTTTTCCTCGCTAAAGGAAAGCTATTTCTCTTTCTACGTAATTATATCGCGCGACGCTCTGTGAGAAGATGCTTGGTACCATAGCAATGTAATTTCAAAAATATATAGCTCGTAAATTATTCTGCAATTGAATGAAAATGCTACGCGAATGAACGGCTCTAATTTCACTCACAATAATTATAATTGCGATATATCTCTAAGCAATACTACCGACAATTGCACAATGTAGAATCTTCTGAACTTCAAAAACTGCAGGGTGCGCAAAAACGAGATCACGACAAAATTAAAATAGATTCTTGCATTTCACAGCGTTACACGCCATCACGCCATAATTTAATTAGCCGTGCACAAAACGGCGATTAATTAAATTAAAGACTGTAATAGTCAAAAATGCCACCCTGTCTGTGCATTCTCATCCGAACCTTCCCCAACCACCGGCACTTTCATACGGCTAGTTACACATTTTTTTAATAATTTGTAATATCCTATCCACCAGCAGATGTGTCTGCAAAAG